TAAAAAAAATTATCAACTTATTCTTGGTGAACTCTTTAAATATTAATTTTAAAAATATAGTTCTTAATACAATATTTAGTTTATATAAAGAATACCATTTTTCATCATTACAACTTTTATAATTTACTTATAAAAATTAAGACTTGTATTAAGAGCAAAAATTTTTTTTAGCTTCAGAAACATATAAAATCTTAAAGTTTCTTGAAAATTTTTAATAGAAAAAATTTTTAAACAAATACTTTAAAGTTTTATTGTTCAAAAATTTATTAATAATTTTAAAAAACTTAAATAATAAAAGTTATAAAATATGTTTTTAAGAATATATTCTATAATAAATAAATATCTCATATCATTAATAAATTATTATTTTATTTAAAAAATATTAAATACAATTAAATTTTCTAGACAAATTTGCCAAGAATACAGTTTAAGGGATAATAATCAAAAGGTGAAAAAGATGTTTGAGTTCAGAAATATTTGCTCTAGCTTATAGTATAGAGTGATTCAGAACTGCCTAGACAAAGGTTAAAAATACTTATAGAAAAGACAAGAGTCTCTTGAGATACTAGACCCTTCTAATTAAAAGAATAAAACAAAGTCAAAAGTGAATTCTAGAACTAAAAATGATATACCTTTAGAATATTTAGCCTGGCTAGACTTATTTAGTCTATTTTTAAATATTTTATTAGCTTTCATTTTATTAGACTTGTCTTTTTTTTAAACTTGTCATAATATAGAAGGAAATCACATTCTAATAATTATACAAGATTAATTTGGTTCACTTATTTATTAGTTTTTATAACAAGGCTATTTATAGCTTCTGACTAATTATCTTCAATAGTATTCTTAAATAAATTAGATCTAAGACATGTCAGTATTGATTTTAATATTTATTTTTTTATGTTAAACAAATTTCTTATAAAATTATTTGCAACACCTTGATAAATCATAAAACCAAATATCATTAGAACACAAATGTAAATGTTGATAATATAAAACATTGCAACAATAAAATATTTAAATAGTAAGAATATTAGAGAACTAACATTTAGAATTTAAAAAATATCTTAATAAGTAAAGATTACATATATTTTTTTGTTTATACAAAATATTGGAATTCTATCATTAATTAAAAAAAAAGAGAAAAAAACAAAAACTAAATTAGAAGAATTATTTAATGAGTTTGAATAATTAATCAAATTAACTGAAAAATTTATTTAAGTACTTATTAAGCATCTTTAAAGTTCTGATTAAGCCTCTGCTCATTATGCATACAAAAATGAGTATTGAATCTATAATAAAGCTTTGCAAGAACTTCTGCTCTTTATAACTTATTGATCAAGAGAAGACTTTAACTTGAACTCCTATTGGAAGATAAGTTCTAGCCTCAATGCTTATTATTTGCAAGAAAAAAGAGATAATGAGGAGATAGTTTATATATCTTGCTTAATAATAATGCCCCAAAGTTATGTTTTAATTACCTATAGATGAAAGCTGAACAAAAAAGATATAAAGAAACCAAAGAATATAAAAGGTTAGTAGACACAGTAGTATAAATGTGAAAGAAAAAATGAAAGTAAAAAATGAACCTGAAGGCACTAATAAAAGAAATATCTGAAATATTAAATACAAGAATAATAAAAGCATAGTTTTCAAATTTTATTAAAAAATTTACCAGGCTGGGTTATAATTGAAAATATAATCTTAAATAATGTAATTAAATTGAAATTTAAGTTAAAAAAACAAAAATTAGTATTTAAAGTCTACTTAAAAGGATCAACTCGATAAAATCAGTATTAAACAGAAAGAAAATAAAGAAATTAAAGTTAAAAAGACCCACTCAAGGCCTTCATCTATAATCAAAACTAGCAGATACAGACTACAAACTGAATAACCTTGAAGATAGTCTTGATAATAGAACTAGAGTTGAACTGAACAAATATAAGGCATTAGTTGCCTCCAAGCCTAATAAAAAAACTAACTTGAACTCTGCTACTAAAATAGAATTAGTAACAAAAAGAATAACTATAATGATTTGTTAATTTTCAAAAGACTGCAAATATGGATAATACTAATGGAATATATCTAGTTGTTTTTTGCTATAAGAAAGAAATCAGTATTAAAAAAGACAAAAATAAGGCATTTGCATAGTAATTAAAATCAAATAGAGAAGGTAATCTAAACAAGTAGTATAACCATGAAATTTACTATGAAAATAGAATTAAAGTTGAAAAAAACCATCTAGAAGACCTATTCATTATTAAAAACCTACTAAAAAGTTCAGAAAGAATTAGAATAGTCTTTACATTCTACTAAAGATAGTGATTTAAATAAGCAAAATATTCTTAGATAATATTACTCAGATAGTATAGATGTGATCAAATCAATTGTGGATAAAGAATTCTTAGATAAAAGTGATCGAGAAACATTAGTTGGAGATGACGTAGAGAATGATAAAAGTTCTAATAATAATAAATTCAAAAGGTTACTAGATAACAAAGCTCTGCAACAACATGTATATAAAAAATGGATAAAAAGTAGTAACTACCAGATAACATATATACAGAAGAAAGATCTGCCAAAATAGAGTCAACCAAAGATAGACAAGAGGTATTAAAAAGCTGTATAGATATCTTTAAAAATAAAAAAATAGCATTTAAATTAAACTCAAAATCTGCCAATGGTCTTGACAAAGTCGGTGAATCTTAAAATATAAAAGTAATAAGCTTAGAAGAATTAAAAGTGACCAAAAAATAATAAAGAGTCTATATCTAACCAATTTTAAAGAACCTGCTTCATCTGCAATTATAGAACTTATATTTAGATCTTGTTATTAAAGTGGAATTGGCCTTAAAAAAAATAAAGCATGTATTTATATCAAAAATCTGCTAATTATAGCATTACAAATTGGCAATCCAATCCTAGCAGTTGTTATAAAGATGGAAATGTTTTTAAAAAAAGTAGCAAAATTTGGAATAAGGGTATTGATAACTTCAGATAGATAATTAGTAAGCACTAAAAAGAAAGACTAACAAAAGAAAATTATAAACTGCTAAAAATAACAAAGTACTTAAAAGAAAGATAACAAATTTGGATAGGCTTCACAAAAACTAATAGTATATAACATTTGCATTTTTAACCCTGGAGATGAATTTAACCTGACTTATATAATAAAAAAAATTTTACTTTGAATTATATATAGACATATATAACAGTTATATAAGGAGTAAAAGACATATAACAAGTTAAGTTTTTTGTTTAACTTCATATTAGACATGAACATATTTTGCTATTTTTTTTATCTTTTTTTTGTAATTTTAGTTTTTGTCTATGATTAGTTTTTAGTTTTAGTCTGTTTGTTTTTAATATAGTTAGAAAAAAAAATAGCATTATTTTATTGTGTCCATAAGAGAAGAAAATATGATCAGGTGCTTCTCAAAGATCTAAAGATCTATATAATAAATTTTCATATAGAACATGAAAATTGAGTTAGGAAGAATTGTAATGGGCAAACTATGATCTCAAGCCCTTAAAAAAATATGAAAACAATACAAAAACATTGCACAAAAGAATCATCATATTACACTGCTTTGGAATTCTAAGAACCTGGATCAAGATTTTGTAAAAATATATAAGCTAAGCTTTTATTAATGATCTTCTTAAGAAAAAGAACACTTATCCAATTCAGTATGATAGCTGTCAAGATAATATTATCTTGTCAAGTAAAGTGTATAGCTATGAAAGAAAGAATAAGAATGTGTTAATAAATGAATCAATGAAATTATGAGTAAAGAACAATGATTGCATAAAAGCATTTATTTAACTTGCCTTCTTTTTCATTCTATTGAATACTTCAATGAAATAGCTGTGTGCAAGAAGTAGAGAATTTGACTAGCTAGGGTTGTATAGCTAAAGTTTTTTTTTTTTTTTTTTTTTAAGGTGAGGTTTTGCCTTTATCTTTATTAATATTTTGTATTGAGAATCCACTATGG